AAACCTTTCCAGACATCATGATCTTTGTGACAAGTTGGGCATGATTGATATCTGTGCTCCAACTTGAGGGGGAGTGTTGTCAGTTGTTTATGTATTCAGATTTAGTACCATAAGGGTACTGTTGTAATTTCTCCTCTATTCATATTGTTTGACTGTACTAGTATAAATAATAAAATCATTCTTTCGCCCCCTAAGTTATGGAGGACTTTCAGTCACTCGATTCATCTCTTTTCTCTCTTTTCATCTCCTCTCTTCACTTGATCTTGCTCAACATGGTATAATACTAGAGTGAAAATCATCTGTAACCATTTTAAACCTGAGATGATGGATGTCCATTTTCACAATTTGCAGATAAAATAACCAAAAAGAGAGAAACACTTATGGAAGTTCTGAATGGTGATCACATGGCTACTTCTCTATATGCATTGAACTTCAGGGAGAATAAAACTCTGGAGATTCTTTGTGAGAAGAAGCTAAATAGTAACGACGTTGCAGAGTTTAAAGATGCTATCAGTAATGATTATTACTTTCAGATGACATATGATGATCTTCCATTATGGGGGTTTATTGGTAAAATTGAAGACAACCTGTTGGTTCCTAATGAGACTTGGCCAAATTATTATCTCTTCAGACATGTCCAATTTGATGTTCTTTACAATGAGAACCGAGTTATAGAAATAAGTGCTTTTAGTGATCCAACATATACTGTGGATATCACTGATGGTGTTGAAACCAATGTCAAGTTCACTTACTCGGTCTTTTGGAGTGCAACTTCAACTCGGTTTGAGAATCGGATGGGAAAATATTTGAGATCTTCTTTACATCCACAGAGTGTACAGCTTCATTGGTTCTCAATCATTAATTCTGTTATCATCATTATGCTTTCAGTAGGGACATTTGTCATGCTGTTTCTGCAGAAGCTCAAGAATGATATCACAAAGTAATACATCTAGTTCTTTCACTTGTGAGTGTTGCAATATAGCTCTAAAACAGGCAGTTGGCATTTTCTGTGTAGTATTTATTACTTGAAATTACAGGTATTCTGTTGTTGATGAAGAAGAGGATATGCAAGAAGTTGGTTGGAAGCATATTCATGGTGATGTATTCAGATTTCCTCCATACACATCCTTGTTCTGTGCTGTCCTGGGAACTGGTACTCAGCTGTTGACCCTGTAAGCTATTCTGAAGCATTGCTTTTCCACAATTATAATGCTTATTTTTTTCATAAACTGCAGTTAAAAGAAATTTTTGTATAAGTTAAGTGATGTGAGTCATAAGATTATCCAGATAAAGAAGGGTTGTGTCAGCTTCACATTTAGCATTAAAAATTCTGCCAAACTCTTATGATGATTCCCTTTTGTCCTATCTGGTGCTGATGGATGTTCTGCAGTCTGAGTCTTCATGATTATATTGGCCATTATGCATCATGCCCATGCATGTAGCAGTAGCATACATGCAGATGATTTGACTTATTCTTTGATTAGTAATATGGAAATATTTTTTCCCTGGATGACTTCTTGGATGGTTATGAGTTTATTGAGTGCTGAATCCCAGGTGAATGAAGTATGCATATCTTAGTGTATTAGTTAGGTCTCTGCACGGCTATACTGGAAAGTTAGCTATTGGGTAGTTTTTTGGTCACTTGGGGGCATCAAATTGTTATATGCACCCTCCTTTTGCCTGTAGTATATGTACAGCTTTCATCCATGGGCCTTGTTATATGACACTTGGTACAATTATTGTCTTGTTCATATATTTTATCTGAAGTCACGTGCACCTTTTTCAGGGTTTTCTTTGTATTTGTTCTGGTTTTTCTGGGGGTCCTCTATCCTTACAACCGTGGAGCACTTTCTTCTTCTCTTGTCATCATTTATGCAATTACATCCTTGATTGGTGGCTATGTTGCTTCTTCATTCCATGCTCAATTGGCAACAACTAAATGGGTAATAGCTTCATGTACATACCTGCTATTTTACTTCTTTATCAACTTGTATGTTCACCCTTTCTAATCATGTTGCTGAGGTCATTTCTTGCAGGGAAAGACTCTCCTTCTAACTGGGATACTCTACCTTGGTCCAGTAATTTTGACATTTTCTGTTCTGAATACAGTTGCCATATCCTATGGGGCCACAGCTGCTCTCCCATTTGGCACCATTCTTGTGTTTATTCTCATATGGATACTAGTTACTGTCCCACTGCTCACCTTGGGTGGCATGTTTGGGTATGTTTTTAGGTCTGAATTTCAAGCACCTTGTGCTACCCGGAGTTGCCCAAAAGAGATCCCACCATTACCTTGGTATAGCAAGACACCAAGTCAGATGTTTCTTGGTGGTCTTTTACCATTTTGTGCAGTGTTCATTGAGTTGCACTACATATACACAAGCTTATGGAGCCATAAGATCCACACAGACACTAGCATTCTTTTTATCTTGTTCATCCTCCTCATCGTACTCACTGCAATCCTGAGTGTTGGGATGACATACATTCAGCTTTCAGGAGAAGACCATCAATGGTGGTGGAGGTATATATTTAAATCTTGGTTCATGAACTTTTTATCTTTAATTTCAAATTCTTGTGGCTAGAAATGTATATTTATGTTGACTTGGAGGTAAGTTGTACCTCTGTATGTTCTTGTCTCTATGGAGTTCTGTAAGTCAGCTTGGTTAATGGAGGTTAAATTCATTAACTTCATGAAGAGTGCAGCTTGGGGTATACATGAAACTGCGTGTTTCCTTTCACTTTTTATTGTGTGGCTATGCCCTTCTTTCTGCAAGTTAAAATAATCCCTCTATTCTGCATATTATCTTTTTGTTTACTTTTTCCCCTATCCATCTGATGCAGATCTGTGCTACGTGGGGGTTCAGCTTCCATTTTCATGTATGGCTATTCCATTATGTTCTATGCCAGGTCAAGCATGACTGGTTCTATGCAACTTTTGTTCTTTTTAGGCTACAATGCTTGTATATGCTATGCTTTCTTCCTGATGCTTGGGACCATTGGTTTCCATGCGTCATTGCTATTTGTCCGCCGTATATACCATGCTGTCAAGTGTGACTGAAAGATCCTCTCACTTCAACTGCGTTCATGTTCAATGGGTGATGGGCCATGTGGTGGCCATTGTTTCAAGGGATATTCCTCCAAGCTCCAATTTCTGTACTGAATGAGAAGACTCAATGTATCAGAAGCATGGCATTGATGACAAGCTGGTTTTTTGTACCATACTGTGTTCAATATTACCAAATTCATGCAATTCTGCCGAATCTGCCTACAGAGAGAACTTCTCAGAACATGCATTTGGACATTGAAATAGCTAACGGTTTTGAATCCAATTTGACAAAATTAGATATTTGATTACCTCTGAAAGAGATGGTAAAGCAGCTAATGTATAGATTGTAGATTTTCATGGTTATTGTTTCTAGTTTCTGAGGTTGCTTGTATGAGCACCAGATCGGTATACTTTCCACTTTGCTTGGCTTGGAAAACACGACTCATTTAAGCAAAGCCATATGTGACGAAGCAGGCACAGAGACATGTTTCTGCACATCTGTTTTTTGCATGTAGAATTTAGAAACTAGGGAGGTGTTATGCAACATGAATGCTTTTGTTTTCATTTGTTTTTGAAATTGCCACAGCAAGAAGCAAAAACATGTTCTTGAATTGTATTTTTGTTTTTGAGAAGTAAAAACAAATGGTTTTATGTTTTGAAACCATCAAAATGATGGTTTATAAAACAAAAACAAACTTTGTAGTACAAGAAACAAACTCTGCTACTCTGCCCGTCTTCGGTGGGACCAAAAGCCGATAACCTGTGTGCTCTGAGGATATGAAATTTAAGCGAGGCCATATGTGACATAGTAGGCACAGAGACATTTTCTTGCTAGCAAGTGCTGTGGATTGAGTTATTTATTTTCAAACATTTTCTTGTTTCTTTTTCCCATACCAATCTTATTATTTTTTGCAAATATTAAATACTAGCCGAATTTCTGTTTTGGGATGCCTGGAAAAAAAAAAAAAGCAAGAGAAACAAAAAGCACATATATAACCAAGAAGATTTTTCTCCTTATGTTTTTCTATTTGATGAATTAAATTATTATGAAACTAGATGGTTTTGATTAGTTTTTGATACTTCCAACACGAAAACATATTATTGAAGAGTAACCCCTTAAGTCATGTTATCGGGTCAGGTGTCAAGTCTGCTCTAATTGGCGTAAGGACTAACCAATCGGGTTTTTGGAAATTCACAATTTCGTGTAGAATCAAATTGCTTCACTTTTATAAATTAAAAGATTCGTCTTCTCTAGTTTACCCTGGATCCTCGACAAGCATCTCATTTACTAGGGTCTGGATCCAGGTTTTGGGGTCCAACTCCAGCCCTGTTGGCAGGTACATGCTAAATGCCAACCAAGAGAGTGAGAAACAGGCTTTGGACACAGAAACAGGACCAATGTAATGAATCTAGGGGCCCCATAACTTTCCATGTATACTATGTTTCAAGCATTGCACCTAGCCACCTACTATCTGGTGGGTCATGGGTGAGATTTTTTTTTAATTCATCATTTTAGTGCATTTAATTGGACCGTAATGAAAAGTTAAGTCAAATGCTTAAAACCAATCGGATTGGGTTGATTTTGGGTGCCAATTCTTGATACATGGAACGGGTTACGAGACCCATCAATGGGTTATATGCCCCCACACTTATTTTTTTTTAAAGCCCCACACCCGATATTTAGCTATTGGAGACTAAGATTATATATGAATTCTATATTAAGGAATTCTGGCCTTGTCTAAGTTTATACAACTGGATTCATTGATGCATTTAATTTAGTTGAAGTTTATGTTTTTGCAGGTAGGTTTTTGTGGTGCAATGGTAGAATGGGGCCTTATTGTATTTATAAAAGATTGGATAAGGTTTTTTGACTTTTTTCTCATATATATACATATATATATATATATATTGGATTTGTTTCCAAATTTGATTGCCGGAGCTTGTCATAAATGGGGGTCTGGCCATGAACTTGTTTATCTAATTCTTAATTCTAATGTAATTGTTAGACCTAAACCGTTTAGATTTTTTTTTGGAGGTGGTTAGGAGAGGAAGATTGAATTAATATCAATAAGAAAAGGGTTGATGTTTGGTTATATTTGGTTTGAAGGAAAAGATAGGGAAAGGAAAGGAAAGGAAGGGAAACATGTACATACCTTGTATAGATTTTCCTGCCTTTCCCTTTCTTTCCCTACATTTTACTTCAAACCAAACACATGGTTTAATGTTAATGGGGTATAGAATTGGTGTCAAACTTGATTCTATAAAAACAACTTAAAAGATAGAATTATTATAAGTTTGGGGATGTCTAACAAAAAAGTTGAATGGACTGAAAACAAATGGAATTGAACTTTAGGCTGCATTTGGAAACGATGCAAATGGAGTGTAAATCTCAGTGCAGGGTAAATTTGCACTTTGGTTCACTTTTGCCTGTGTTTGGAAACATTACATTTATGCATTGACAAATGGCAGACCAATGCATATTTACAATGATAATAAGATGTAAAAGTGCATCAATAAAAAAGAAATAAATTTGCATTCAAGTGGGCTTTTGATAAAAAAAAAAAGTATATGCTTTATTGAAATTCATGTTTGCATCCATTACAGTTAAAAGTTTGTTTGGTAAGAAGATAAATTTGTCAATGCAAAACTAACCCAACTTTGCAATTTATATGAACTGTTTTACACTCTACATATTTGCATTCACACTTATTTGCATCATTTCCAAACGCAGCCTTAGGAATTGGGGATTGAAGGTGATAATTGATTTCCAATTAAGATCCTTCTTTATTTAAAAGAGTACAAATATAAATATGTGAAATGCAAAACCTTGTATTTTGTATCATTTTGTAAGTATTTGCATTGTACATATCTATATTTGCACTATTCTCAAATTATACAGTGCAAAACCTTGTATATGGTATTTTTAAACCTTATATTTACATTGTACATATTTATTTGCACTCTTCCCAAACTAAGTCTAAAAGATTTGAACCTTTTAGTTCTAATCTTAACCTGTTTGAGTTAGTCATTACTGATATAGACAATGAGATATTAATTGCTATCCAAACCATGAAGGAAGTTAATGAGATTGTGAATTCGATTGGTTTTAAGGTTAGTTGGTTTTTGTATGTGTTTTGAGTTCTAGTTTTTTCTGTCCTTATTAATAATAGGAACTTTGATTTTTTTTTTTCTCTCTCTAGTGTTCTTCATGAAGTACCCTTTATCCCCTAATTGTTTATTTTGGCTACGAAGGGCTTTATTAGACTTTTTCTTAGGGCCAATGTAGAAATTCTCCTGGTAAGTGGGTGTATATTATTAGTTGCAAAAAAAAAGTGGGTGTCAATTGAATTTGTTTGCAAATGGTGCACATCCATTCTATGGTTTTCATTCAAYTTCCAAGGAATAATATTGATAAAATCCAAAGATAATTTTGGTGGAAAGGTTCTGATGAAAAATATAGATTTAAATGGAATAAGAGGAATAACTTATGTGCACTAGGAAGTCCATCTTATGGGTTTCCTTGCTTAGATCTAATATCTGGTTCTTCTTGACATTGGAATATTAATAAGCTTAATGATACTCATGTGTTCAGAAATAAAAGAAATGATAATTTGATTTAATTAGTAACCAGTCTGGCTTGTTTAATATGAGATATTTCTATTTGGAGGAATGGATGGTTTATATGTATAGATTGAGTGAGTGATGATATCTAAAATTCAATTACTGTGCATTCGCTGATATTGGTTGCATGTTAAATCTAGATCTCAAACAATCATGTTAGAGATGTTTTTATTTTCATCAGAGTGTACTTTCACATTTAACAAGTTTATCCATCCTTTTTGTTACCATAGTTTCTCCAAGGCCATTTTGTTTACTAATTCTTCGAGTATTACTATTTCAGAAAGTCATTTTTCTTCTGTTTTAAATTTTATTTTCTTTTTCTTTTTCGTTTGAATGATATATATGGTGTGCAAGAAATGATGTGGTGTTCAGTATTGTTGACTCCAATGGTGCAACTTGGATGCACCCAACCTGACTAGACCTGTTCATGGGCCGGGCTGGGCCGGGCTTTTAGTGTTCATTAACAGGAAAATAATAGGCCCGAGCCCGAGCCCGGTCCAACCAACGGGCCTAGAACTTGGGCCCGAGCCCGGCCCTGATAAAAAGCCCGAAGCCTGAGACCGAGTCCGAAGCCTGACCTAATAAAAGAAAATCAAAATTTTCCCTATTCAAATAGACATTATCTATTTTAATTCAGGTGTTTTTTTCCCTATTTAAATGAACAATGGGCCTACAAGTGAATCAACAACATTCTCAAATCAAAAAAATTATTCAAATGGACATCACATAGGGTTTTTACTTAGGTTTAACTATAGATCGGGCCGGGTTTACTTAGGTTTAACTATAGGTCGGGCTGGGCCGGGCTTGGGCCAGGCTATTTTGGCAAAGCCCGAGCCCAGCTCGAATTTTATGCGGGTCGGGCTTTTTGGCCCGAGGTTAAGCCCGCGGGCCAAAAAACCTGTTCAAGCCCGTCCGGGGGTCGGGCCGGGCCGAGCCAGCCCATCGGGCCACCCGGCCCATGAACAGGTCTAAACCTGACACCGGACTGGCCCATTCCACTATTTTAAATGGGTTGGGCTTGGGATTTTCGATCCTTGAGCCAGGCCTGTGCCTGAAACATTAATTTTGTTTTATTTTTCAGGTTGGGTACGAATTAGCCCTGTAACCTGAGCCCGTCTTAGCCTTAATCTAATCCTAGCCTAACCCAAGTCTAGCTTAACCAAACATACACACATACATGAATGTCAAATTTCAATTTGAGCTGATTGATGACCAACCCAAATATGTCAAATTAAACTTAGCCCAATCCATCCAACTTGCACCCCTACTTGACCGTAACCAAGGATTAAAGTATCGGTATCGGGTATTGCATCAGACAACTCGGATATGGATATGGACGAAAAAGATGAAAATGCATTGATACACTAGGAAAATACATACAAATTCCATAAATACAATAATATCATTAAATTTAAGATCAAAATAATCATAAATAGTATATAAATACATAGGAAATATATATTTTAGTGATATATATAAAGAAATATATTATAATTAATATATCATGATGCATAGATATCATATAATTTTATTTATAATGCATCAATCAAGAGTCCAAGGCACTAAACATATGCACCTATTGTATTTTAATTATTATATAAATTATTTTTATTTTACTTTTTTAATTTTAACAAAAAGTCAACTAAATATTAAATTCTCAAATACAAATTAAAATATTAATTAATAATTTATAAAAATATAATCTTAACTTAAAGTATATCAAATATGTTAAAATTTATAATATACATATCATATAAAAATTCATAATTTTTAATTACT